ATCGAACTCATACGGAAGTGGCTTTAGCTTCTCAGTGCTGTGCTTTAACCCGCTGCGCCACCAGGGAGGGCCCATACACTGTGGGCTTTTAACAGTCGCCTAACTTTTGGCCTTTGGTTTCCTGCTCTGTGAAATGGTAGAGGCTGGATCTGATGATAAGGGGGTGAGCGCACTCTGATCAAGTGTAGAAACCAGCTGATTCTTGGTATTGAACCCCGTTGCTCTTATTTGCTGGTCTCCCGCATCTTTGCCTGTCCAGGGAGGAGTGTGGCTTGATAATTAGGGACAAAAAGGCCTTACCCTTCCAGACAGGCTCTCCTAGTCCTTTGAAGATGAAAAAGGAAGGTGAACAGAACAGTAAAAAACAAGGAGAAAAGACACTAAGATCCGCCACGTGCATGTTTTTATCTCCTAGTGGTTCTCGGCATTTCTGTGAGCTGAGGGCTTCCTCTCGAGTCAGATCCAGGCAAGCAGGTCCCCGTGTGACAGGTGTGTGCCTTGCCTAGGTGTGCTCCTCCTGCCAGCCGCATCGAAGATGCAAAGACGCTGGTTCCTGCAGGGAGCAGCACTGGCCAGCCGGCCAGTCGCAGCCAGGGCCTCCAGTCTCGCCTGGTGATGGCTCCTCACCCCCTTTCCTGGCTCAGTGTGCAAACTGGGCAGCTTCCGTCCTGTCTCTGTAACTGTCTCCTCTGTGTTACACCCCAACCCCCAAAGGCAACCTTGTGTCCTTGTGTGCAACCCAGGCCTCTGGGCTGTGCAGCACAATCTCCACGGCCCTGGCTCTGAGGCCACAGCTCTTCTCTTCCCCTGCCAGGGGTGAAGGTGACCACTTTCTGAGAAGCCCCAAGCAAAGGGTCTGGATCTGGCTCCTCTGCTGGCGCTGTGATGAGCCACCTCTGGGCCCATACCCCTCAGGGCGAGGCCTCCCCTTTGCTATGTGCACTCCCCCACCCCACCGCCCCCCTAAAATCACCTGAAGGCCTCAGGATGATTGTGTCTGTGAACTGAGCACTGCCTGGTTGATACTCACCTCTGGACCCTGTCTTTAGCAGGCAGGCTCGGCTTCTCGTGGGTTTGCTTTGGCCTGAGCCTGAGAATCTGAGTGGTGCTGGTCCTCGAGATCCTGACACAGGAATGTCAGATCACAGCTTGAGATGTGGACCGCTCCGCTCAGGTGCAGGCTGTGTTCACCATGGGGGCACAGCCACACAGGGGTGTCCAGCGCAGTGCGGGGCGGCAAGAGAAGAGGCGGTGGCAGGAGTGGTGGGGCGTTTGTCAGGCAGCAGCCCGGGAGGCCTCAGGCGCAAGCACGCAGGGTCTATGACATGGGCCCCCCAAGCCCTGGGCCTGCAGGCTCCGGGGCCCCAGCGCAGTCAGGGCCGCCCTCTCCCTGGCGGGCGTCCCGCAGAGGCGCACGGCCTGGGCCATCCCTCTGGGACTCCAGTTTACTCTGCAACAGCTACGGGAAAGTCAAGTCCATCGGTGCAGATGGAGGACCTCTGCCTCGCCCTGGGGCGCCTTCATTTTGGGTCAGACTTGTAAAACCACCAGCTTCAGGCTGAACCTAATTCAAGCTTGTGACACTGGCGTGGGAAATGTATTATACAGCTGTGTGTCTGGGCTTGAGGGACAGACTCTCCCTGCTGGCCAGTCAGCGATGGGGGGGAGTGCTCACCACAGTGAGGGGGTGGGCCAGAGCAGGGGCCCAGGAATGTGTTTGGGGGCCAGGGTCCCGGAGCCAAAAGACGCAGAGCCATGATGCAAGGGCAGCAGAGTGACCGCCGAGTGGTCCCCAAGGAAGAGGAGCCCACCGCATCTCTGGGCCAGGGGCAGTAGCCTGGGTTGTGTGGGGTCCCCCTGCCTTGCCCTCCCAAGGCTGTGGGGAGAAACAGGTCTGAGAAAAATCAGTTTCCTGCTAAGCAGGCTGTGGGGTTCAGAGTACTGACATGGGGGAGCACTGCAGATCGCTCCTACTTTGGAGAAGCTAAAGGAAAGCCAGACCCCATAGGCTCTTCGGATGGTCTCTGCCTGGCTCCCTGGAGACCCTCCAGTTTGGGCGGCTTTGTGGGATCTGATCACACCTGCTGTGAGTGTGACATGTTTAAACTCAGAGCTGCAGAGGGAGTGGGGGCTTCAGGAGAGGCAAGGTAAACACAGGGGTAACATAGTAACAGGGAAACATTTTTCTAAGAGATTTAGGTGCTCTGGGAACTTGGAACAATCCAGTGTAATCGACTGCAGCTTTTATCCCGGCCGGTGGTATTGCATTTGTCAACTGGTTAAACTGCTCCCCACGAGGCATGCGACTTCTGGGTGGGAAGTGTGAGCTGCAATAAATCCAACTTTAAAACTAGGGCTGCCTGCTAGCCCCTTCAGGAAGTGCCGCGGATCTGACCCCACGCTGGGTCAGAATTCCCATGGGGTGGTCACGGCACGGCGCCCCTCTGTCGGGAACTGCCCGGGACATGTCCTTTCCTTTCTGTCACTGAGATACGTGCTGCAGGGGGAGAAAGAATAATGAGCTTGCACTGTGAAGAATTGAGTTCTGTGACCTCCGCGCGACAGGACATAAAGCCCAGTGAAGGATTAGACTCGGGCAAGAAAGCAGCCCCCGGGAAAAGCACTTTTCCTGGAGGAGATGCACAGTGCGAGGCAGGACCAGCTAGCTGGGCTTTCAGTTAGAAATATGGAGATGGGGTGGCTGTGGCTTTAAAGGGGGTGCATGGGCAGGGCTCCCCAGCACCTGTAGTTGGTGCCAGAGCTGTAGAGAAGGCAGGAATCAGAATATTAGAGCACTTAACTCCTTCAGGCGGAAAAGTCCCTCATCAGTCACAGATTCATTGTCACAACCCAGAGCAGGTCACGAGTTGAGATGCTCCTCAGCCCCCAGCAGGTAGGGCAGGGCTTGTGTTTGTGGGGGAAGTTAATTTCCAGGTTGCTTTTCTCAAAATTCTCGCACCCCTGGCCTCCCTGGTGGCCCAGGGGTTAAGTGTCAGCTCTATCCTGCTGCAGCCTCAGTTCAATCCCCAGCCAGGGAGCTGACCCTGCTGCAGGGTGCAGCAGACCTCTCCGGACCGCCCGCTGCTCCCCTCAGCAGTGGATTTCAGTCGATCTGCCTGTCCTGCTCTCTACTATGTCACCTCAATCTTCTCAGCCTTGTACCTCTGGCCTACACCCCAGTTCTTCCTACATAAAAATAAATCAAAATAAAAATTTAAAACTTGAAAAAACAAAACTCTCCTGCCCCCGTGTTCTCAGGCTGCCTTGGGGCCGGGCATTTCCGGTGCTCCCACTGGAAGGACAAGCTCGTCAGGGAGAGCAGGATAGGAGAGGCCACTGCATGCTTCCTCAAAAGCAACATCTTTGCATTTTAGTGGGAATTTTCTGAAAATGTCCCTTAACCCATGGAAGCTGTTCTAGTGAGTGGTAGTGCAGACGCTGTCTGCGGTTGAGGGCCCTTGTCAGGGCCCACAGATGGGCCTGCACGGGGGAGGCCAGCTCTGCCCCAGGCTAGACAGTGGGGAGGTGACCCCACCTTTCCTTGCCTGGGTCCAGCCTGCTCTCTTGGGAGTTGACTCTCACCATCAAGGGTGTGTGGTGTGCTAAGAAGTCACCCTCGAGTTCTTGTGAGCTGGTCTGAGTCTTGTCACAGTTCACCCACTGACCAACACACCGGTCCTCTTTTGTAACTGGCCTGGCCCTTCGGTACATCTCTGAGGGTCAAGCAAACACTGATGCTGTCACCTGTGCTAACAGAGAGTGGGAGTGCTGAGCAGGGGGTGGCAGAAGAGAGTCGGGGAGGAAGTGTCCCCAAGGGCTGGCCACCAGAGGGGGCAGAGGAAGGCGGGCGTCCAGACAAGGGGGATGTCAGCTCTGCAGAACTTGAATTGGCCAGATTTGCCCAGAGCCCATGATACTAATAAGCAGGAGCCAGGCAAGAACTGTTCCTGCCTGGGGGCCTCGTTTGGACTCAACACTGAAAGGCGTGAGGCTGGGTTGTGGGAGAGGTGACCAGACAGGGGTCATTTTTCAACCGACCTTTCTGGTCATTGTGGGAAAACTCGGTTGGGATCAGCTTGGTATAGGGAGCACACAGGCAGCATGTGGTGGTCAAGGAGAAGGCAAAGCGTTGAGAGAGGAGCTGAAGGTTCTGGAAGGAAGTCACCAAGGGGCTCACCAAAGGTGTGGGATGCAATGAGGCGTGTGGCCGGTTAAGTGGCCTGGGGTCAGTTGAGGCAGAGGCCAGGAAGACAGGCAAGAAGCAGAGATGGAGTAACTCACCGTGGGGTCTTTACCAGTCTGCTCTTCTGACTTTGGCATTAGGGCTGGGCTCTGGCCCTATGTGGCATCCCAGGTCAGGGGTGGCCACCTCTGCAAGACAGAGGATGATTTCTGCATTTAACCAGTCCTGGACCACAGGATTTATACCCCAGGCTGCTGGGGAAGAGAGGCGTGGCTAGTGACCCCAACGACTTCCACCTTCCCACCCCGGTTTTTCTATTTCATTTTAATAGCAAAGAATAGAATCTGGTTAAATGCATTTTTAACAGCCTGCCCAGGATTCACACCCCACGGCACATCCACTTAAAGTACGCATTTCAGTGTTTCTTTGTATATTCACAGAGCTGTGCAGCTGCTGCCATGACAATTCTGGAACATTTGTGTCACCCCGTAAAGAAACGCATTAGCAGTCAGTCCCCACTCCCCCCCAACCCCAGACAACCGATAATGCACTTCTGTCGATTTAGCTTGGCCTGTCCTGGCATCCACATAGAGGGGGCCTCGCCTGGATGTGACCAGTGGCTGATACCGCAGTTCTGAGGGACAGAACCTGTCAAGTGAGCAGAGGGCTGGCTCCAGGCTCCGCCCAGTGCCCTTTACAAGTTACTGATGCCATCACCTGTGCTAGCAGAGAATGGGAGTTCTGAGCAGGAGGGTAGGAGGGTAGAAGAAGGGAGTCAGGGAAAGTGTCCCCCAAAGGGCTGGCAGAGGAGGGGAGGAGAGAGACAGGAAGGCACTTGGATGCAGAATCCCTTGCAAAGGCCTTGTGTGCTGTATATGCCAGAATCAAGACTCGCTTCCTTTGAAACACAGGATTTGCCTGCTTTCTCCTAAACTTGTTTTAAATCTACCTTTTTTGGAGTAGAGAAGTGTCTTCCCACTCACCCTGCCCTTCATGGCTCCCTCTAAAACTGCTGTTAGGCAGAAATGTTTAATGATGAGGATCCTACTCTCCAGAAGCACCAACCTGGTCTGATTTGTGATCTCAGGGAAGTTACCTGACCTCTCTGTTTCAACTGTCTCCTCTGTAAAATGTGCACAAACACAGTGCCAGGCTCATAGGATGGCTGGGAAGATTCAGTAATTTGACTCATTGAAAATTCAAAGAAAATTGTCTGATCTATAATAAGCAACATGGTTGTGCACTGTTAACATGATCAGAGACTCTTAATTGTGAATTCCTGTTGGCCGTTATTTCTAGTTCAGGTTGGAGGTAAAAGGAGACACCTGCCCATCTTGGGAACTACGTACACGCACAGCTGTTGGTCTCCCTCACGCACTGAATCGGGCCAGTGAGTTTGTAGTCTGGAAAAATAAGCTTCACACCATTGTCCTGCCCATCCTGGGCCCCTTGTGCCCTGTCTTCTGACCCCGCCTGCTGACAGCTCCTGGGCTGACCCCTTCCTTTCTCCATAACCTGGTATTTCTAAATACAGCAGGCTTGGAGGCAGATAGAAAGCAGCAGCACATATAAAAAATGCTGAATTCACTGTATTTTATCTGCCCAACACAATTAATAGCTGCCTTCAAGAAAAAATTTCTTGAATTTTCTACAGTACTCAGCACTGGCTAGTTAACACTAGTTACACCAAATTGAAGATTGCAGGAAATCTGTTTGCCTACAAAAAGCTTTAGAAATGTGTTCTCCAGGACATAAGCACTTTTCCTGTGGCACATTTTATTAATGTGCAAAACAAAGCCCTCTTGACTTGCCCAATGCCGGGGTCACCTTCAGGCTGCTGCCCAGCCCAGATGTAGAGTCTATAGGCAAGGTGCTAGACACTCAACTGCGGGATTGAGGCGGAAGAGCAATGGTCATCCTTGACAATTTGAGTGGTGCTTATGAGTGACTCTGTTATGCTTGGACAAAGGAAGATGCTATTTCACTTTTGAAGTAATCTCTAAAAATATTCAAAGATGTTTGAGATCTGTCCTTCTGGACTTGTGACGGAGGGAAGCCTGTAGCTCTCACCTTCATTCGGGGTCGGCAGTTGAGTCCTGCGGTGTAACTCGAGCACTGGCTTTGCTGCTACTCCTTAGCATGTAGTGTGTGAGTGAGACCCCAACTCTGAGCTCTCGAGGGACACTCCTTGTGCCCACCACACTCAGTTTGTAGTGACAGGACAATCTATGAAGCCAACAGTGGACACTATTGCGAGTGTACATTCGAGCTTAGAGGGGGAGGATTCCCAAGGTCGAGAGTGGTCAGTAGGTACCAGAGATGAGGACAGACTGGAGCTGGTGCTGGGCAGTGGTGAGCGAGTGGACTTTCCTGCCCTGGGGTGGCCTGAGTGAACAGGAACTTGGTGGAGGGGGCGGATGTGGTGTGTTCGTGAGACAGAAGTCACTTTTGACCAGAAGAAGCCTCTTCAGATTTATTCTGATTCTGCACCTGTGACCGTGGCCTCCACTGCCCGGCAGGGTCCTTGAGGCCGGGTGCACTCCCGTGGTCCCCCTGCGAGCCAGCTCCCTGTGCCCTGTGTCCAGCTGCATGCTTTCCACAGGCCTTCTGAACTGAACGCAGTCTCTTAACTTGACCTCAACTCATGGGGGGCTCCCTGCCTCTGCCACGACTCTTTGCTTCCTTTTTCCTTTTCATCAATCACCCAATTCCTTGGTCCTGCAGGTCCCCAAAGGAACAGACCAGAACTGGGCTCAGAAGCTGTATGACCGGCATTCTGGCAGCCAGCACTTCCAGAAACCCCGCATGTCCAACACGGCCTTCATTGTCATCCACTTTGCCGACAAGGTGGGCATTGGGGCTCTGCCAACCCACCTCGCTGACTGGGGGTCTCCGGCCAAGAGGGCGTTCATTGTCCCTTTGAACTCGGGTGACCTGAAGTCTTCAGTAGGGTCGCCCTTTGTTCACACCATCTCTGCGGTACCCCAGACTGTCACTACATGGCAGGATTCCACAGTGTCGGGGTGCGTGTGTGTGTGTGTTGGTCATATGCTTAGCAAATACCCTTTGAGGGTGTCTGAAGGCAGGTGAGGAGGACGGTGGCTGGCGCACTGGGCCTCCCTTTGACTCCCTTCCCAGGAGCTGGTGTGGATATGGAATTTTTCACATGAATTTCTGGCCTCGCCCAGTGCTTCTCAAATTCCATGGGCTTGTAAGTCATCTGGGACTCTTTAAAATGCAGGTTCTACTCAGGAGGCCTGGGGTCTGGCTGCCAAGCCGCCTGTGCAAACCCCAAAGGAGGCCGGTTTAAAAAGCCACCCTGTCGGAATGCCTGGTTAATTCAAGACCTACCCACAGAGTGTTTCCTGGATGCCTCTGTACAAATCCTGATCACATGCTGGGTTTGCACGTCCCTTGGACACACCCGTGGGTTTATCTACCCACACCTCTTTTCAGGAAGCCCTGTGTGGGTGAGCTGAAGCCATTCAAGTGCATGAGGCCGGGGAGGAGCTGGCCAGGATGAAGCCCTAACTACTGTTTGTGTTTCCCGCCCTGGGTCTAGGTGGAGTACCTTTCTGACGGCTTTCTGGAGAAAAATAGAGACACGGTGTATGAAGAGCAGATCAACATCCTGAAGGCCAGCAAGGTAAAGAGTGCCAGATGCTGGGAAACAGGCAGAATGTCCACAGTCGGGGTCCCCTCCCCAGTGTGGAGGCAGGTGTTGGTCAGGGGAAGGTACAGGGGTTGTGGGTGTAATGTCTGAAAGCATTTACAGGTGGCATGATAGAGGGAAGAAAGCAGAGCTTGGCAGAGGCAACCGGGACAGACACCAGCAAGTGGGAAGACATGGGGCTGGTGTGTGACATGGGGCTGGCGTGTGACATGGGGCTGGCGTGTGACATGGGGCTGGCGTGTGACATGAAAGGGGACCATCGAGAGGAGGGTAACAGCGTGTCTGAGTGAAAATGACCCCGACACTATTGAATCATGTGTCCTCATCACCTAACAGCAGAAGTTATAGTTCTTAAGCCCCTTGAAATTCTAGCATCAGTGCGTTGAATTTCTGCTGAGTCTGCAAAAACTCCCTGTTGGCAAAATCTTCAGCGGACTAAGGTGGGAGCTAAGGACACTTGAATCTGCCAGTGTGGAATGTCATTTTCTGTCATCTCCAGGACTTCAGTCATTTCTCAAAAGCATAGCAAACAGTGAACTCTGGGTCCGTTCTGTGGGTGGAGGAAGCACAGCCTGGGCTCACCTGAACAGAGAGGTCTGTTACACCCCTGTCTTGCGAGGTCCTGCCCTAAGCACCCCTAGAGAGGTACAGATGAGTGAGACAGGGCCTCCCTTGCGTGGCTTCCACCTAGCAGGCCTTCACTGGGCGGATAAACACACAGTAGCTGAGAGGAGAGGGGCCTGGCGAGTGGTGCCTGTAACAGACCTCTCTGTTCAGGTGAGCCCAGGCTGTGCTTCCTCCACCCACAGAACAAGCACCACACCTGTGCCAGAGGCAGAATACAGCACAGGTGCTCGGCCGTGTCAGCGCATCAGCGGAAACAGGACTTCCAGGATTTAGGGGGCTTTTTTGCAGAAATGTTGTCTTGCTGCAAGTTTCTCCTTACAGGTAGGGACACAAGCGAAGGCTGGGGAGAGTCCAGTGCTTTCTGTCTGAACACGGAGTTTCATTCTGTGTTACTATCTCCAGATCTAAAATAGAATCTCTCATATCCCAGCCCCACCCCCGGCAAGTCATTTTTTAGTAGCAACTGAGATGCCCACCCCTCACTTTTATTTAACAACTTTGAGTATTTGTGTGGCAGATAGTGGCAACACACCTGACAGTTATCTCCTGGGAACTCTAGTGAAAAGGATGCAGCTGAATAACAAATGTTGGCAATGGTGTAAAAAGTGAGAAGGAACTGCTGTGGTAAGAATAGGGGTAGCTGCAGTCCCCCATGCCCACCCCCGGATTGACTATGGCTAAGAAGACTCCCAGACGCAAGGTATGTTGTACCAGTGGCTGTGGCTTATTACAGCAAGGGACACACGGCAGAGTCAGCAAAGGGAGCAGGTGCATGGGGCAAGTCTGGAGGAGCCAGGTAGAAGCTTCCAAGAGCCGTCTCCCAGGGGAGCCACTCAAAGTGCACTCTGTGCCGCGGCGAGTCTCACAGGACCTGGAAAGCACCCAGCAGGGCAGTGAGGGTTTTACCGAGAATCAGCTATGCAGGTTCTGTCTCACCTGTTCCAAACCCCCTGAAGTCCAGAGTCCCAGACACCGGCCAAGGGTCAGCCTTGCAAGCAGGCCTCTCTGGACAGCAGTGTGCGGCTGCTGTATTAGCTCTTTTCTCTGCAGTGTATCATCTTATATTGGGAGCACTGGATTTTTATTAGAAATGAAATTGAAGCTCATAATAATTCAGATCGTATAGAAATAGATAAAAGATCGTATTGTCCCACCCCTCGGCTCACTTTGCATCCTATCTGCACAGACGTTAGCTTGCTGGTATATATTAAGATTGAATGGTCTTCTCTGATTTTTCAGTTACTATATCTTGGCCATCTTTCTGCTTGAGTCTGAATCTATATCATTTATTTTTTTAGACAGCTGCCAATATTTTGGTAATTCGAGTAATGCTGTAATGAATGCACTTTGCCTATGTCTTTGCTAACTCCTAACAATTGTACCTGTCAGGTAAATGTTTAGGAGTAGAGCTGATGCTTCAGAGAAGGTGCATATCAAAGTTTATCAGTGCTGCTCAACGGGAATAGAAAATTAGGTCTCTGATCTTCTCTCAAAAGGACTCCCTTCTCTTCCTTACCAACCAATTCTGCTGCAACGCTAACTTTCCCCTTCACTGACTAATATTTCTAAAGAGTCAGCAACCTTGTTACCCAGTTCCTGCCTCCTCCCCCCAGCAAAGGCTAGAGCTGCTGTGAGGGGCCCACCAGCCACTCACGCAGGCCCAGGGGCCTCCAGCCTTGCCAGGCCCCAGCGGGAAGGCACCAAAGCACGTTCCTCCCTGCACTGACCTCACCCCAGGTGGACACACCAGAGGCAGGCCAGGCCAGCCAGGGCACTAGAATCCTCCAGCAGGGCTGCAACAGTCAGCTGCCTCTCGGAGTGACGCCCAGGGGCTGAAGTCTGGGACCACGGGCAGCTCTTGCAGCTTCTCCTCGGCTTCCTCAGCCTCTGTGTTTTCTTTAGAATCTGTTTTCATAGCAGTTCGCGCAAGATGCAAGCTTCTAACTCCATGTTAAAGAGAGAAAAAGACCTGGCAAGCTACAGGCTCTGTGGCATAGAGGAAACCGGGTGCCCTATAACACTTCAAACTTTACTTCGCCCATCAAACTCATCAAGTGGAGGGTATATGTGCCCATCACTTTGTTCTGTTTTAAACATATTTATTTCATTGTCCTTCATTTTTGCACAATGTATGATTTTCTCATGAAGTTCCCCACCACCAGTTGCCTGAGTACCATCACCATGCTTCCCTGTACTCGCCTGTAAGTATATTTGGAATAATTCTTTTTCTCACAAAAATGAAGCATGAGACCTCCTCCAAAGCCCATTTATAACCCTTTAAATCAAAAATATTTTTTATCGAAAAATTGGACATTATTTTTTCTAAAGGGATTGGAGGAAAAACTTTTTTTTTCTTTTTCTTTTTACAATTTTGCAGCCAGAGTTTAAGTTTCTAAGAGGTCCAATCAAATAGCTTGCCTTATTTTAGTTTCACATGTCTACTTTAAAGGAAATAAATGTCACCTTCTTCAAAATAGAAGTGAATAAGAGTGATTTCCAAGGTAACCGTTATGTATATACCTGTCATAGAACATTTTTCTTACACTGTCAATGGTCTTTAGAAAAGGTTTTCAATATGTCTTTTAATCCCTTTTCAAATAGATTTGCCTCCGGCTTTTAAAATCTATATATAGACTTGAATAGCAGAGAATACTGAAGCCAGTGCCTTTGGGCACTCTCAAATCAGCGACAAGCAGTATTAGAGAAGTGCTGGGTTTGTTTGAGGTATTAGCTGAGTGTTTCAAGATTGAAGGGGGCTAACTTTCAGCAAGGCCTGGGTGGACGCTGTTTCCTGGGGCTGTCCTAAGATGAATTATAGTAGATAGTAGCTCCATTACTGGGCGGTAGGTTTATAAACGACTCTCAAATAGCTTGAAAAAGTATAACTGGAATCCATGAATTAAAGCAAAAGCCATTTTCTCTTTCTCACACAAAAATGCATTCTCTTGTATGGATCCTTTGTTAAGCACAAGCGTGGGCACCTTGTGATTTTGTTGTTGGCTGTGACCTTGAGTTTGTGTACAGTTAGGACACTACGGGGTACCAGAGGTGCCTGTCTGGACCAGCCCTTTATCTTGTGGGTGATGGGGTGTAGTCTTGTGTGTTCTTTACTGTTGCCTATAGCCCAAGGTTGTCAAGGTCAAACTAAATGGTGCCTTGGTCTTTCAGCCCTGAGGTCAAACTAGAGAGGTCTCTGCATGTTCACTGAATTTATTTTAAAAAGAATAAAGGGGGCATAAAACATGAAGCCTACGGATCCTTCTCAGTCCAGATGCTCCTCTCCTATCCCATCCTACAGCCCCTGACAGTCTCAGTAGCAGACACTTGCTACTAAAGCCTGGAAGCTGAAGTGCGGAGTCTCCACTCTGACCTGCTGCCGTGTTTGTGCTCACACGACACAGGGCCAGCGTGGCAGAATTCTCCTAAATTCTGAGTCCATTGTTTAGTGTCAAATAAAAACAAAGCAGTTTCTCTGATTAAAGACTGGAAAGAGACATAGATTTTATATAGGGCTTTCACTACAGAATCTCATGCCGAAGTTCCTTTTGTGATTATGATACAAGCTGCTGACCTTGGAACCTGGTTTTTTCTCACCGACAGAGCCACCATAACTGATTTCTGTAAATTACACCCCATCGCCAGTGTTCTTGTGCAGCTGGTACTACCTAGCGTGACCATCTGGGCTAAATACCCAGATCCGTGTCAGTGAGGCGGGTACAGGCCAGTGTTTCCACTGGACGAGGTGGGCTGAGTGAGGGCAGCCGTTGGCTTCCTGCTGTCTCCCTATGGAAACTGCTCAGCACGTGGAACCAAGCGCCTGAGTCTCAAGTTCTGGGTCTCACGTGGACCCCAGAACTCTGGCACTAGTCCGCACAGACTCCTCCGCCCAGCTGTCTCCCCTCAGCCCTCGGACCTTCTCATCTTGCCACTGCCACATTCTCAGTTAATATGCGTGATGGTTGAGGCCTGGGCCTTTAGAGAAAGGGTGTGGACTAGGTTTGTGTTTACAGAAAACTGCCTGGTGGGTAGGAGACGTTGGGTGGGGAAGGTGCTAGAGCAGAGGTGGTCAGGGAGAGCTGAGGGAGGTGAAGAGGGCAGCAACGGGTGCTGGCTGCTTAAGGACTGCGGGAGACTCTCAGTAGACGCAAAAGGTGATTGACCCAGGATGCAAGATCTCTCAGGAAACCTGGACAGGCAGCGGGTGGAGAACTCCTGGGGAACGGCAGAGGGAAAAAATGCTGAGTGGAGACTCGGACTGTGGCATGGTGGCCGGAGATCCAGGTGGAGAGGTGGACAGGCCAGCAGGAGGTGGGCAGGTGTGGCCACTGGCGAGGAGGCCGCCCGGGGATGAGCACGGAGAGGACAGCGGTGCTGGGAAAGAGCACCATGGAGGGAGGCATGCAGGGGTGGGTCGGGAGAGGCCCCGGCAGGGGCAGCGGGAAGAGGCAGGAGGGAGGTGGTGGAGCGGTGGCAGGGTGGGTGGCGTGGAGACCCTCAGACATCAAGTGGGATGGAGAGCGGAACCCTCACTTCAACCACTAGGTTGGCCAGGAAGGGGCCCAGGTGTGGCTCTCAGGATCTGTGTCAGGCCAGAGGCTGTGGGTGCAGGTGATCTGAAGTGGGGGTGTGGGGGCGAGGTCTGGGTGCCTCACCTGAGGTGGCACATGGCAAGATGCAAACAAGGTGAAATGCTGAACGAAGAGTTTTCCCACGTGAAAGAATTTTGTACGTAGTCCCGTGGTCACGGGGAGGTGTCAGTGAACAGAGATGGAAGACGAGGAAATACAGGTGTTCAGGTCAGGGGTGATGTAAAAGCAACCTTTCATGAATTCTCTCTTTCACACGGGAGAAATTAAGTCTAGAAGGTCACCCAGCCAGTGAAGTGCGTAGTCAGATGGGAAGGTCAGGTCTCCTGGCCCCCTGGCCCAGTGCCTTTTCTACTCTGCCAGGTCACTGTCCAAATGCCCACTGGCCTATAAATCTGGCCTCTCGGCTCCTGCCCGAGAGGTGGGAGTGGGAATGGACTGTGGGGCCCTGGAGGTAGGCGGGGTGTTCTGACTTGGTGGTAGGAGACAGAACAGCCCTGCTTTCATGGGCGCTGGAGGAAGAAAAGAGCAGAGGCTGAGAAGGAGCAGAGCCCAGCCCAAGGCTCTTACCCATGGGCCTCCTGTCCACTGGGCTGAAAGTGGACCCCCGAATGAGGCCTTTGTGCCTCTCTGTCCTCCCTCTAGGCACATGCAGGTAGAGGTCTTCTAGCACTTGATTCCAGCCCCACATCCACCTCCCCAGGAGGCCCAGCTGTGTCTTGCCCTGTCCTGTCAGACCTCATCCGCCACCCACCCTTTACCCTGGGACAGAAAGCATCAACACACACAGGTCATCATGTGGAGTCTTACAATGCCAGTGACAAGGAGTTCTTATCCCTGTTTTACTGATGAGAAAGTTAAGACTGAAGGTTAAGTAAACCTGAGCTGGTCATAGTGTGGAAGATCTTAAAATAGGCTATTAAACCATAACTCCCTTCCTCCATCCCACCAGGAAATGACACTCTGCCCATTTGTGTAGGGGAAGTATAGTGAATAAGGTTGTTTAGGAAAATCAATCTTGCCCCTTCTTTTCTTTAAGATATAAATCTCCTACCAAAATGTCATCCCTTGAAAGTAAACAATACAGCATTTCTAGTCTGTTCACCAAGTTGTGTGTCCATCATCACTTTAAATTCTGGAGACTTCATCGCCCCAGAAGGAAAATGCCCTCACTGGCAATCACTTTGCTGTCCCCTCGGCCAGCCCCTCTGTGTTCCTGGACAAGCCCAGAAGCACGGTCACACATGATGGCCTTGTGCCTGGCTTCGCTTGTTTTACCCAGGGGTGTGTGTGTGAGGCCCTGCGGGAGGTGCCGTGTTGTTTACCAGTCTGTCCATCGGCTGGACGTGAGGGCTGTTTCCTCTCCCGCTGTTAGCTGTGATGCTGCTCAGAGGTCAAGGTGCTGCTTCTGGGTGGTCCTGCTTCCATGCTCAGGCGACTCGGAAAGCTACTTTGAAAGAGCTAAACCACGTAGAGGATGGGGATCTTGCTGTTGATGCTCCCCCGTGTTTGTTTCTAGTTCCCGCTGGTGGCTGACTTGTTTCAAGATGACAAGGACTCCGTGCCGGCCACTGCCGTGGCTGGAAAGGGCTCGTCTTCGAAGATCAACATTCGCTCCGCCAGGCCGCCCCTGAAAACCGCCAACAAGGAACACAAGAAAACCGTGGGCCACCAGGTCAGCCCAGGCCCAGGGGTGGAAAGCCGTGGTCCTGGCACAGACACTGGAAGGGGCAGGGCTGTCCTGGCCACGGGTGAAGGATGGCTGCAGGGTGAGAGGGCACCAGGTGGCCTCAGCCGCCAGCCCTGCCTCCCGCTGAGAAGGAAACTCCAGGACCTGCTCTAGGGGCTGACGAGAAGGCAAGGGGAGGATGCTGGCCCCTGTCGGTGCATTCAGTGCACTGTCAGTGCATTCGCGTGACAGGACCACCTCGAGGGCCAAGAGGGTCTAGAAGTCTAGGTCGGTGAGGAGGGTTAAAGTGCCTGGGAACCAGAAAACTAGAAACAACTTCTGCAGCTGTTGGCTCTTCATGGATTTTCCATCCCGCGTGTCCTCCAAAAGAAGAGAGCCCGCCAGGCCCCCGGCAGCCACTAACCTGTTTGTAGGGTTTGCCTCTTCTGAAGGGGCCGTGTAAGTGCAGTAATCCAGGATGCCCGCACCAGGTGCCAAGGCTCCAGGCCCTCGGGTTTGGGAGTTGCAGCCTCCTGTCCCGGGGTAGTCCCTCACATCCCTAGTGCTCACACCATCCAGCTCATGGGCTCCACAGCCCTGAGTTAGGCTTGGAGTGAGCGGTCTCTCCCCACGGGCTTGTAGATATTGGTGGGGGCAGGGGCTTGATTTTGGTCACGCAGCTGGATAGGAATGTGGGAGCTAGGATGTAAACCCAGGTCTCTAGATGTCTTCGCATCTCTGGATTAACAATAATCAAAATGGTAGCATCAGCAGGTACCACCACTTGGGCTTTGGGCATCTTGTCATTTATTAAACATCCAGAAGATGCTACAGATAAATCACTAGACCTGCCTCTCGCCCCCCAGTTCCGCACCTCCCTGCACCTGCTCATGGAGACCCTGAACGCCACGACTCCACACTACGTCCGCTGCATCAAGCCTAATGACGAGAAGCTCCCCTTCCAGTAAGTGCCCATGCAGGTACCAGCCTGGCTCCCCTCATCTGGCTGACCCTCAAGCCCAGACTCTTGGCGCTTCCTAGGCACTTTACGTGGGACAGGGCAGGCTTAGCCTCACGAGTGTACCCCTGGAATAGTCAGTCTTAGGCATGGGAAATGGTTTACATGCTGATGTGGGCCCGCAGACATTTACCAAACAGCCCCGTCTGCCACCCAGGGGCCTTGGGAGGGTGAGAAGAATCGGTTCCCCCGCCCCACTTTGCATACCTGGTGCAAAGGAAGGCACCCTGCTGGAGGGGAGCACCACAGAGCAGCACACTGACTGCTGATGGGCGTGTCTCAAGGTGAAGAAGGTCTTCTGTTGAGGAAACGTGACCTCAGTTGACATGTTGAGTCACCTAGGACGCAGGCAGGGCCCTGCTCACATCCCTCCAGAGTACCCACACGGGTCCGTCTTCCCCTCTTGCTCAGGCGAAGTCTGCCTCGACTCCTGCTTTGAAAGTTTTCTCCTGGTTTTGGATTGACCCACCCAAATCCATGCAACAGCCACGGCCAGTGTTTTCATTCATCTTCGGTTTGTGCCAAATTCCAGCCGGTATCTCTTGTGCTCACTGCAGTGACACTGGCCGCCCGGACTCAGCACGTCTAAAACAGACTCATCTTAGCTCCTCCCCCACAAAGCGGGCTCCCTTTTACCTCTGTGTAGTGAATGGCATAAGCATTTCCTGACATCTCACCAAACTTGAGCTTTCAAACTAGAAGCCTGCACGTTCTTCTGGACCAGTGCTGTCCAACCCAACTTTCTGTGATTATGGGGACAGTCTGCATTGTCCAGCCCAGTAGGGTGACACCCATGCAACTGTTGATTGCTTGGGAATGTGACTGTGCAGCTGAGGAACTTCGTTAAATTATTCTACTGAAATCACATTCAAGTACCTGTTGCTGGCCCGTGGCTGCCACATCGACCTGCGTGACTCTCGGTCCTTCCTGTGCTCGGAGTCCCCAGTGCCTGTGGCTGTCCACGTCCCGCAGACTCTACCCGAAAATTCCCCACATTGGTTTTCCTTTGTCCTCTTTCTGCTCTTCTCTTGTCTTAAAGTTGCTTCACCTTTGCCTTGAATATCGCTCTCAGCTTTCTCACTACCTCTCCGGCCTCCCCTTCTATGCCCTGAACTTCCCATCTCTCTGATTTCCTTTTTGAGAGTTTGTTTCGCAACCTGATCTGTCCGAACGTGTGACGCACCCGCCCCCTGAGCCCCTCTCAGTTACTGAGGCTCATGGCCACGCAGATGCGCCCCCTGCTCGAAAGGTTAGGAGCTTGGTATTCTTTGAAGTCTGCTGATTGTTCCTTTTTTCCCTTCCTCCAAATTTCTGAGCTGTGCACAGGAATTCCCTCTGTGTGGCACCTCCGTGTGGCATCTGTTCACCAGCTGCCTCCAGAAAAGGCGTCAGAGGAACAGCATGTGTGAAAGACTTGGATTATGTGTGAAGGGCTAAGGCAGCCTGCCAGGCCCCAGGGAGGAGAGGAGGCTGGGTCCGGCTCGGGCCGCTCCCCCATCAGCTGGGTGCCCCCTGTCTCCTCTGGCTGGGCTCCTTCCCGCTGACAGAAGACTCTGGGGACTTTGAGAGGACTTCCTAATCCCACCAGCCCATTTTCTAAGACCTTCCTTTGCCTTTAGGACCAAAATCTTCCCTCCAGAAGGAGTGGGGAGAGCACAGAATTTACTCGGAAAATCTGGTTTCTAGGCCAGGCTCGGCTACTGATTGCTTGACTGATGACAAGTCTGTCCTTCACCCTCTGTCTCATTTCTACATCTATCAGTTGTGGTTAAAAATAATGACCCTAATGAAAGAATGTCAGGAGGTAATTGTTGAGGATTATTTGTGGCAAGTATAAAAATTTACATGATTAAAATATATAGTTACATTACTCAGGAAGGGAAGGGCTATATCCCTCCTGCATCCCCTACAACCTACTTTTTGAATTTTTTTAAGAGACATATTTTATTTATGCATACAGAACGGGGTGCAGGCCAGAGGTGGGAGCAGATTCACCACATTCAGAGTGGGGAGCAGAACAGGCAGATGGACTGAAATCCACTGCTGAGCAGAGCAGAAGGCAAGACAGGAGAGGTCTGCTGCACCATGCAGGTCAGCTCCCTGGCCGAGGATCAAACTCAGGCTGCAGTGGCTGCTGATGGCTTCACAGTGCTGAGCTCCAACGTCTTGCGCCACCAGGGAGGCCCTACCTTGCTCTCTTAACCTCAGCAGTCTTGACATGTTGGGTCAGGGCTGCCCTGAGGCTGTCAGAAGTTTAGCATCCCTGCTTGGCCCACCAGGTACCCCACACAGCCCTATACTGCTGTGACAGGGCTCGCCCCAATGGCGAACCACTGTCCCACTGCTCTGATGGCATCCCCTGTGTGTGCCTTCTTCCCTCGGCTTCTTCCTTTATTCAGAAAATCTCTCTCATCCCCACAGCCAGAAAGGGAGCATTTGTTCCTCACCCTTCTCTGAGCGGGGCCACATCTCGCAAGTTATAAATAGTCGTTCTAGTTCAGTTGAACGCCCCCTCCACGAAGACTCCAGTGACCGGTGACTGCACGGCCCTGGCTTCTGTCCCCAGACACTGTGGCCCTCTTGCCACATTTATCTCATGTGCCACACCTGTCCGCGCTCTCCTCTACCAATGCGGATACTCTCAGAAAGCGCAGGTCACTCCTTACTTCACAGCGATGTTCTGCTCAATATAGGTGCTTTGAGTAAAGACAGGTTTTCTGTTGTAGACTTAGCACTGCAGAGCATGTGAGTCGTTGATGACTTGGCTCATTCTCTGCAGATGAGAGGACAAAGTTGTCCCTCTGTATGGCTCTTAACAAAGCAGCTACCATGACAAGAGCTAATCATACGTGTGCCCTTACGGCATGCCAGGCTCTGTCCTGCTTATTTCCATAGCCCTTGTGTTTCACCCTCTTACACTATAGAGTGGTTCATAGTATTAGCCCCCTTTTATGGATGAGGAGAGAGGCCCAAGGAGTTCATTTGCCCAAGCCATTGTCACAGCTGGTGAAGGGTCTTGTCATGAGCCAAACTGAGGTCACCGACCTGCAGCTCACTGTTACTCCCTAGCCAGGCACTGCTTGTGGTGGCAAGTGTGTGCATTAGGAACACGGAATTGAGCTACATGACCATGTGGGTGGACGTAGCAGGAGAAGGTGCTGGAGCGGAAGCAGGAATGAGTCAATGAGTCTGGGGTAGGGGGTGGAAATGGGGTGTCTTGGTGAGAATAGGAGTGTGCACAAGAGCCTCAAGCACAGCTCCAGTGCCTGCCGGTTGCGGTCTTTAGTCTGTGGTTGGCCTGACCTTGAGTTCAGGGGTTCATGATGGAATGCACAGCGCAGGAAGGGGTCATTGTCCTGCTCCCCTGTTCCAGGTCTGATTGCTCTCACTGCTTGTTTCTGTGTTTTCCCAGCTTTGACCCAAAGAGAGCAGTGCAGCAGCTCAGAGCATGCGGGGTGTTGGAGACGATTCGGATCAGTGCGGCCGGCTACCCATCCAGGTAACGTGCCACCCACGTAGCCCCCACCCCTGGGCAGCCCATCACGTGCTGTGAACAGAAACAGAACCTCCAAAATGCACCCAACGTGCGAGCCCAAGCTGGAGTTTGCCCTGAGAAATGTGGGTGTCAACAGTGACACCCTTTCAGGTAGCTTGGTCTGGCTCTTGTCTCTGCTTAGAAAACAAGGCAGGGGCCTTGCTGGGGCTCCGTCTCAGAGACCCTCAGGACCGAGCTGTGTTGCTGTAGCTCTGTTACTGAGTGGCTCTGCCTGCTGCAGGGACAGGACCCGGGCCCTGGCACTGTCCTTCCGTTTAGAGTTCAAGTCCTGCTGTCTTTCAGTGGCAGCTCCAGGCACAGGGCTCAGACCAGGTCATTCAACCTGAGAACTGGACAGACCTGGGGGGCTGCTGTGCCCCCCCCTGGCAGCCAGGCTCCAGCCCTGCCCCTGGCAGCACCCCCATCTGCAGGAAGTCCACCTTGTGGACTTCCAGCTGCATTTTCTGGAAGTCAACTGAGTGGGTGATGACCCACATCTTAGGACGGAAGATAGATGGTGGCTTTTGGGGTCACAGGGCATTGTGGTATGGCCACCCCTCAGTTTTCTGTGTGGATGTGGGTGAGCATGGTTTGAAATGTACTTTCATATACGAGGCCCAGGGGACGTGCCCTGCTCACGGTCACAAGGTGACATATGGCTGAGTTAGGGTTCGCGCCCCCCTTCCTCTGCTCTGCTGGGTGCTTTTGCCAAGCATCTTAACACCCATGTGGCAAAGTGTTACCGTCCTAACAGGCTTTTCTCAGAGAAGCGAGGGTAGACCGGCTTCCTGGGCACTGCTGCCCAGCCCTGGGGCCGGTGGAAACCTGCTCTCTCCAACTTGTAAGCACAGGTGCACATTGTGGAACTGTGGCCTGGGCTTGACAGAGGCGCCAGGTGGCCGAACACAGGGCTTTACTGTCAGCCCTGGGTTCAAGTGTCATCCCGTGCACGCCTTGGCTGAGCAACCCCAAGCACGTAATCGACCTCTCTGAGCCTGAGTCCCCTTATAAGTGGGATGAGCAGACTCCCTTCCTACACTGTTGTGCCAAATGAGAAAATCCACCCTGCCAGGCCCTTAAGCATGTTTATCACTCACACAGATGTGATCCAGAAGCCACATCCCTGTGGGAATAACTAACTGCATAGAGCACTTCTGTGCCAGGAATTTCTGGAGTTTTTTGGTTGAATCCTAAGCTGTCTGGTTACCTCAAAAGTACACTCGGAACACCCCAGAACTCTCCAAGCACAGGAGGAGGATTTCCTGGCCCCATGTTTTCTCTCCCGTCAGCCTGTCTCATGCAATATCGAGCATTAGCTCTGCCAGGTGCTTGAGGGCATTAATGATGGCGGCGGCGGCCTCTGCCTGCCAGGAGCCCGTGGCCTGGGAGAGCCACAACACCAAAACCAGAGCCCCAGAGAATCAGGTGCAGGGCTGCCTGGAACCGGCTTCCTGAAGGAAGTGAGGTCTGAGCTGGCCGTGAGGGTGTGGGGAATTCCAGTCAGCGGGGAGGCTGTGGGGGGCCCCCAGCCAGGACGTCACCTGCGGTCCAGGGGTGGTGGGTTGGTAGTTTGCGTTCCCTGTTAGGTGTGTCTCCATCCACCCGCCCAATGTTCTGCTTGCAGCATGCTGGGAGGCCAGGTGAGCTGCTCCCCCAACTCCCCTACGCAGCCAGGAGAACACCCCCCTCTGTGGACTTGGAGACCCATGGAAACACCCCCCCACACACATTCAGCCTGCCTGGCTGCAGCAGCCTGGCCAGCAAGCCTAGACACCCCCAAACTTTCTAGACTCCTAAAGGCAGCTGATGGGGTGTGTGCAGGTGATGTCGCCTGCACTGGCTTGTTAAGGGTTCCCTGCCTTCCTAGTTATTGCAGATTTCTTTCTAGCAGGTAATTACAGGAACATCTGTACCTTTTGTTTTGATAATTGCAGGCATTGTAGAAAGTGCAGGAAAGGCGGGAAAGGCTGCATTTCTGATGTCACAGAAAATGCTGCTCTGTGCTGTGATTTGCATGTTGGGCTCAGACCCAGAGCCCGGCCTTCCACGCCCTCCTCAGCTGTGCTGCCGTGGGAGAGCTTCCCCCCAAGCTGCCGCGTGCAGTGGTGACTTTGGGAAAGAGGCGCCACAGTTCTGGGGTCCTTGTCGATAAAGTAGGGTCACCCATGCCATTCCTCTGCGGTCTTCCCCCTTCCTGAAGCAGCTCACCTTGGCAGCGGAGGAATGAGTGGTGAGGGGTGTCTGGTGGGCCAGGCCCCCACGCTGCCATCTCTCAGCCCCACACATCACCTCGCATGCCGCAGCTGGCCTGGTGGAGGTTGGCACGACTCCCCACTCCCTGCAAGGATGGCCGTCACCTGCTGTGTCTGGGAAGAAAGCCGTGAGGCCTGACTGGGGCCACGGGCTGTCAGTAGGACCGCGCGAGGGGTGTACTGCTTCCACGTGTCGCCTGAGGCCATCTTGTTGGTCTGACTGGGAGAGACCAAGGGGCCCGAGGGCTCAGTAGCCTGGGGGTCAACGCAGGAAGAAGTTGGCGTTTGGGGGGGCTGAGATGGGTAGTGTCGCCTGCACTGGCTTGTCAAGGAGCAACCCCTCCCGCTGTGGAACTACTTCTGAAGGAAACATTAGTGGGTTTCTTTGATGAAGGGAATTGCAGTTTATATCATTTTCTTACATTTCTCCTACTCACGTGGCCAAAGGACAGCTGTCTCCTTACAGAGAGGAGAGTGGCCCAGGGAGAGGCTCATTGCAGGACTGCTGGGACTTGTGCTGAGGCCCAGGAAGCCTCCCCCAGCCCACATAGAGGGCAGCTGTCCGCGCCTGCTCTCAGCCCCAGGACACAGAGCCCTTAGCTCTTCCGAGATCAACATTGGTGCCCCCCAAACCCGCCCGGTCAGAGAGGGGACAAATGCAGACTGCAGGCCAGCGGCAGCTCCCTGACACCCCACAACCCACCCCCCCCATACCGGTGACCTGTCTGTTTTTATCCTCCCTAAGACTGAAGGCCTCTGTGAGCCTGATTTTAAATGAAAATGTATCACTCAATTTGAGCTGCGCTGCATCTCCTGTCTGTAAAGCTGGATGGGCCAGCCAGGGAGGCCACCGTCACTGGCCCAGCTCCCCGCATGTGACCTCTGCCCGTGCAGTCGTCTTTCTCCCTCCTTGGGGTTACAAGGCAGCTTTGTGTCCTGGGGAAGTTGGCCAGCAAATACAGCCGCACCCCCAAAAAGTGTGCAAGACTATTTGACTATGCAACATTTATACTTTTTCAAAAGCAGCTCTTCACAAAGCTTCAGTTGCTCACTTGCTCCATCTCCTGCACTAAACAGTAACTCGATGGCACCTTCTGGAAAGGTGGGTCCATGCCCCCCGACCCTATATGAATACAAGCATAATGGGGAAGGCTTGAGAAATGTGTGGTTCACAAGTTTTTAAACTTGATGAAGCTTAGAAATGTCTTGCTGTTAGAAATTCTGCAGGCAAGGTGTCCCAGGAGGATTTTAAGTGCATCCTGGGGTTCCCCCACATCCAGAAGGACTAGCTTCCTCTGTCTTCACCTGGCACCCCGGCTCCCGCTCAGAGCCAGTGGGGCGATGCCCTCTCCCTCCCCTATGGCAAGCAGAGCCGCCTTCAGGCCTGGGCTCCCCTGAGCCCGTGTTCCCTCGGAGGGGCCAGGATATACCTTGGGGACAGGGGAGAAGGCAAACAGAGGGGTGGTGATCACCTGCCCCTGTGCACGAGGAACCCCTCGTTGGGCGTCAGCACCAAGTAATGACAAGTCCTGTTTCTGGGTTTCCTGAGTGCCACCCCCCCCCACCCCATCTCCTTGGTTCATCCTATTGTATCACCTGGACTGTTTACTTAGCAGTTACCATATAATTGGTGCTCTATAAAATGCACCAGTTCGTTGTGCAATTCAGTGATTTCCATTATGTTCCCAGAGTTGTACAACTCTCGCCTTGATATAATTGTGGAATATTTCTGTCACCCCAAAAGGAATCCCTGTGCTCTTAGCAGTCAGTCCCTCCCCCCAACCCCCAACCTGGTCAGCACTAACCTACTTTCCACTTCTATAGATTTGCCGGCTCAGGATATCTTACGTAAATGGAACCGTATAAAATATGTCCTTTCGTGTTCGTTCACCTAGTGTTAAGTTTCCAAGCTTCATCCGTATTGTCTATATCAGAACTTTTTATTCCTTTTTATTGCTGAATACTACTTTATCGTGAGCACATGTTTTATTTTATCCATTCATCCATCACAGTGCACATTTAACTTATTTCCACTTTTGGGCAAGTATTAATAATGTCACACTGTAGACATTTCTGAACCTGATTCTGTATGAACATATTTTTTATTTCCATTGGGAATACACTAAGGCTTGGGATTGCTGACTGATAAGATATTTATCTTTTTGAAAAACTTCTAAAGTGTTGGAAGCTCTACTTGTTTAAGCCCCATGCACATCTCTTGCTTTAGAAGCTCTTTCTGGGCAGAGAGCCACGTGTTTTCTGTAGCTTCACTGCAGGTGAGTGAGGCCTTCCTCTGAGGTTTCATCTCTGGGTGCACAGAGGTCGCTGTGTCCTTGGCAAGGGGCACTTGTAGCTGCCCAGCCCACAGGGCACCCATTGACCCCTTTGTTACCTGCCAGCCCTTGTCTGCAGCTGGCTTGCTTCGGGGCCAGCCTCCACCATCTGGTTCACCCATGTCTGAGGCAGCCTTTGTGAAGCAAGACAGAGAGCTGGCAGGAAGGGAGAGTAATTTAGACCTTAAGAAGCTTTGTGGCTTTCCAAACACTGGGAGGTGCTTGTGAGGTACCTTGAATTGCGGTTGTTTTCTCCATGTTGCAGGTGGGGATGTGTCTGGGCCGTGATATGGCTAAGGTTGCTCAGCTGCTAACTCAGTGCAGGCCTCTCTGCTTCTGTAGCCCAAGTTTATTCTGCACTGACCTGGGTGTCTTGGCAATTCCTGCTCCCCACCCCCTTGTATTTTCCCTGAGCCTGTCACCTCCCTAAGGTATAGAACTGTCAGCAGAAAGATTTTGAAATTGGAAGCATCTAAGGTTTTTCACCAGCTAAATGCTGCTCTAATTATTTCTCCAGAGAAATTGCAGACTCACAGAGAGAAATAAGGCAAGTGAGTACATAAATAACCATGGTGCAGATTGTGGAAAGCGCCCAGAATCAGACTGAAGTGCTGAGCTGCTTTCAAGGGAGAACCCATCCTCCCTGGCAGAGGCACCTGTGTGGCAGGGTGTGGGACACAGGGGGACTTAGCTTGGTGTGAGACCTTTTTCTCTCGTACTGTTCCATTGGGGTTTGCCCCAACCCAGCTCACCCTCTGCGAAAGTCTTGGTAAAGAGAATGGTCTATGATGGGACGCCATAACCAAAATCTACCTTGGGGAGAAAAGGTTCTCCACCAGAACGTGCTTGAAGAGGGTTAGCTCCAGGGTTAAGCTCGGTGGCCTCACTTCATTTTCTGCTTTAGAAAAAAACATGTTTGCAATCTGCAGTATTAATTTTAATAAGAAGAAAGCCAACACTTAAAAGCCAAGCTACCAAGTTAAAGCAACTCATTGCCCAAGGACAGGTGAGCAGGTGAGGAGGCTGTGCTACATATACACAATGGAATACCACTCAGCTATTAAAAGAAAATGGAGCCCTCCCTGGCAGTGGAACGCGTTAGAGTGCAGCACTGCAAGCTGGCGCAGCTGTTGGAGTGCAAGTTCAATCCCGGCCCCAGAGGTGACCCACATGGCATGGCAGACCTCGTGTCTCCTCTCTGCCTCTCAGCAGTCAATCTGCCTGTTCTGCTCCCCACTCTGTCTCTGGTGAATCCTCTCATTGCTCTTGCACCTCTGGCCTGTACCCCAGTTTTGATTGTGTAAATGAAATCTTTAAAAAAAAGAAAATGAACTCTTGCCATTTAACAACATGAACGGAACCAGGGAGACTCATCCAAAGCAGAGTCAGGAGAAAGACAAATCTAGGATGATTTCACTCAGACGTGGAATATAAAGAAAGAAAGATATCAAGTAAACCAAAGCAAACCCTGGAAACCTGACTGCAGCTCTGAGGCTGAGGGAGGGCAGGCTGGGAGGTGTGGAGCAGGGTGGAGCGGGAACTGTGGTAGAGGCCTGGGGGTGCCGTAGGGGTGGGGGTCATGTGGAATCACACATTCCAAGAGATGTGAACCTGTACCCCTAAATCATACAGTGACTTAAAATATTCCCTCAAAAAACTCTTAAATGGAAAAAATTTAAAAATAATAATAAAGGCAGGTTTCCAGGGTGGGGTGCCCACTTCGGCTGCACCAACAGTGGCAGAAACCCCCATGAGCACTTTGCCTCTGGAACCCCCATTTCCCTCAGTCACTCACTGAAACCCCCAGAGGGCTCTGAGCGAGGCAGACGCCACCCTTTGCCCCGTCTCTCTCCAGGTGGACCTACCATGACTTCTTCAACCGGTACCGGGTTCTGGTCAAGAAGAGGGACCTGGCCAGCACGGACAAGAAGGCCATCTGCAAGTCCGTCCTGGAGAGCCTCATCAAGGTGAGTTCGCGGGGCGTCCTGAGAACGGGGGGCCGGCCGTGGGGGGTTGCCTCTTTGGTCTACCTGCTTCTTGCTGGAGCTGTCTGAAGTGCTCGTCCATTTCCTATGTCAGTGATTTTGCAGAAAGCCCTGTCGTGTGTCCGGACCGTCCCTAGCTTTTCTCATATCTTGGCACTCACAGAAAATGAATCGTTTGTGCAGCCCACTGGGACTGGGGAGCTCCTGGCCACACGCGCAGGCTGGGGGTCTCCAGCTGCTCCACAGCTTGAGGCTCCTCCGGGATCCCACCTGCCTCATGCCCCCCCAACACACACCGCCCCCAGCAGGGAGTGTGGGAGGGGTCTGGCCTGGAGCAGGGCCCAGCCTGCAGGCCCGTGGAGGGGGAAGGGGCTTTGCTCCTGTGTCTGCTCAAGGCGCTGCCTGCCTCCAGCCCTCCTCCAGATGCTGGCTAGGAATAAGCAGCAGATTTTGTTTTAATTGAAATGACCTGAACTCAGCAACAACCCTGGAGACTGGAGAACTGTAGCCACAGAACTATCGGAGTCTGTTGTGAGAGGCGTAGTTCCAGAGTTTTCAGGTATTTCAGCAGGGAATGGTCATTCTTGACATACAGGGTTAAATCACGTTAAAAAAAAAAAAAACCCTTTAAGAAAGCAATAGAAAAAATTACATTAATCTTTAATTTAGGAAAATTATTTTGCTAGGAAAGCCTATTCACCTGGAGTAGCTCTTTGCCAGCTTGAGCCAGCCTTGAGTCCTGTGTTGTTTTTCAGAAGCGACACGGTCTCCTTCTGAGCCCGTCTTAGCTGTTCTCGCCAGGCACTGCGGACAGTGCAGAAGTGGGAGCTGAGCACCCCTGGGAAGCTGGGTGTTGCTAGCCTCACTAGCTGGAGGTTGCAGTTGGCTGTTTGGAGTCTGGTTGGGGGTTTTGCTGCACTGCCCCAGTCGTGTCCGCCGCTCAAAAAACTTGAAATTCAAAAAAAATGTTCACGGGTGATGAAAATGGATATTCGAGAACAGCTGGCTCCTACCAGCTGTGAGCAGGCGCCCAAGTGCCCCCAACCCCCCACCCCCCACCCCCGCTGCGCTCCCCGCCCTCCCCCGCCATCTATCTGCTTCCCAACGGGCTCTGACTCCGGCCCCGGGGCCCTGGCCAGCCCAGTGTGCTTCCTGTGTCCAGGCAGGCAGAGCTCAGTACCCAGGTGTGGACAACTCCTGCCCCTGTTATGCACACTGGCCTCGCGCTGAGGCGCTCACAGCCGTTTGTGGGGCTGAAGACAGACAAGTGAATTACTTTATGAGTAATTCTAGGAGTATGTGTTGTTTGCGCTGCCTGGAAGGTCTTTTCCTTCTTTTTCCTGTCTGGGCAGGGGCTACTGTCCTTCCGGACTGGGCTTTCCAATGCTTGTGTGGAGTCTATCCTTAGCTCCCACTTGGGGCCAGATGCTCCGTCTTCTGCTGGTCAGCAGGTCTCGGCTCCTGTCCTCCGTGATCGTGTCTGTACTCATGTAACAGCACCAAGCGCTTGTCATTGCGCTGTACTGTGAGCTCCCCTATGGCAGGGTCCTGTATCTGTGACATCGAGCTGTGACTTGGGATGCATTGCTAAGATTCCTTTCTGCTCTCTCAGCCTCTGATTCTTGGGGACAGGGTCTCCGAAGATATCCCTGGTTGATCGACACAGGATAGTAGCAGATTCCAGTAGGTTCTAGAGCTAAAGAAGGGAGATCAGAGAGAGGATTACACAGTGAGACTGGCCAGTGCTGACTGGTTCCAGCAGGTGGCAACTTCAGAGTCTTCGTTACAAAATCAAGGACTTTGTCTACGAGCGTGCTCCTTCCTGGTGCTTTTACCAGAATTGGAAGCAGAGCATCGGGGCTGTGAACCCTCGGGTGCAGCTGGCCCCTCCCATCTCTAGCCCTGCTAAAGCTCAAGCAGTCGGTCTCGCCTCCCCTTGCCTGTGAAGCTAAGCACACACCTTCTGCTGCTGCCACCCCACCCGGAGCTGCAGCCTGTTCCCCAGCAAAGCAGAGCCAATCAGGGCCTCAGTAACCCCCAGCTCAGCCCCACGTGGCCTGAGCAGACCAGGGCTGGACCCAGGCCGGTGCCTGCCCCTCCCAGCCTTGCAGCCAGCCTGGTCATGGAGGGGACATCAGTGACCGTCCTCTGCGTGCTGCGCCCAGCCCAGGGAGCACCATCTGCCCTCGTGTGGCCCCACGTCCCATTACCCTGCAGGGGGTAAGCCACAGGACTGGCGGGTTGCTTTTCAGAGTCATCTGCCACCCGAAACAGACGTGTGTGCTTTCCTCAGCCCTTGGCTCATTGCTTCTTCCTTTGGTCTCCACTTCAGTGAGCAAATGCTGCGAGTTAACAATTACTGTTCCCTCGGGGCTGCTGAGTGTTCTTTCCTTACCACCGGGGAGTCCAGGCAAGGCAGTGCATTTAATGTAAATAGGTGTCATTAGGACAGCAGTTATGTAGAAAAAAAACACATCTCAGACAGCCTAAACCCAGACAAAATTGAGGAGTTACTTGCCACGCGGAAGTGACCTGTCCTGTGGGGTCCCTTGAGGGCATCGATCAGCCAGGCAGGTCACTCCCTTGCCCCCTCATGTCCTGGCTTTCCTGTCCTCCAGCATGCATAGCTTGCTGCTACCACTGGACATTTGCTTGCTCTGCTCTTCTCCTCATACTCTCCTCCTCCACTGCGGCTGCCCCTTTAGTTCCTCGGGGCCTTGCTCAGCTGTCACCTCCCTAGAGAAGCTGCCTTGGCTCCCCTAATTCGGCATCCCCATGCCACCCTCCCGCCCCCAGTTTTATGGTCCTCCTAATCCTCACCAATGCCCAGCCGTCCTGTGTCCTTGTTGGTTGCCGAGAGCAGGCATCTTGTCCCCTGCTATTCCCTGGTCCCCCAGCCCAGGGGGGCGGGTGGGGGACTCGGTGTCTGTTGACAAAGCTGAGGGTTTGCATGACCTAAGAAACCGGTGACATGTGGCCGAGGAATTCTGCGCCGGGGGAATTGGTGTGGGGCCCTTGTTGCCTCTCTGCTCGCTGATGGCCCACCGACTCCCCTCCCTGCCCGAAAGGATCCTGACAAGTTCCAGTTTGGCCGCACCAAGATCTTCTTCCGGGCAGGCCAGGTGGCCTACCTGGAGAAGCTTCGGGCTGACAAGTTCCGGGCAGCTACCATCATGATCCAGAAAACCGTCCGGGGCTGGCTGCAGAAGGTGAAATACCGCAGACTGAAGGGGGCCACCCTGACCCTGCAGCGGTATTGCCGAGGACACCTGGCCCGGAGGTGAGCCAGCGTGGCAGGGCGGTGGGGCGGGTCGGCCGCTCTCAGCCTCTGTCATCGGCCGCTCCTGTGGGCCCTCCCAGCCCCTGGACGCTTCTCCCCACTGTCCTTTTCAGTTCAAGGAGTAGGTCTAGTTCCAGGTCTCCTGGTCCCCCACTCTGTCCCCATCCCACCAGGACTTGCCAGGAGCTGTGATCTTGGCCAGAAAAGCACCATTTTGCCTTTCCCTAAATCCAAGGAATCTGCCTTTAGAAAAAGAGGCAAGTTCAACTTTTGCCACAGTTCCCTTAGAGTGACCTTCTGACTTAAAATGCTTTGCAGGTCCCTTTTATGAGTGGCTGCACTGACTAGTGAGGGGTGTGACTTGTCTGCCCACAGCAGCTCTTGCACAGGAAGGGCAGAGCCAGTGCCAGACTCCCCTGCCTACACTGACACTGTGCAGAAGAAACTTCTGTGTTGGGCACGTTCCCTACCGGCTTGTATGATCGGGCTGATGAAGCTCCAAGGCAGGTTGAGTCTCCACTGGGGCCATGACACAACCCCCACGCCCCAGCCTCAAAATCAGTGACCTCTCCAAATACAGAATTCCCTGGAGAAGAGTCAATATGGCTATGAAGTCCTGCACTTGGCACCCAAAGTTTGACAAGTGCCTGCTATGTCATCTCTGCTTGAATGTAAGAAAACAAGAGGGCCCCTGAGACCCAACGGGGCAGGAATCCTTTGTATCTGGGTGCTCAGACTCAAGCTCTCGCTCTGTACCCACGCATGACTGGAGATGATGCATGCCTTTAATTACCTCCAGGTGTCAAGAGATGATCTGGAAGAAATGCTATAGAAATGAGAACACTGTCAAGAGTAGCAGCACTAAATTATTATTGACAGCCTGTGCCAGCTAGTCAAGGCATTGCTGAGTCCCCTTATGCTCTTAGACACCAGATGGTGAGGATATAAAGCCGGGACGGCCTGCACGGGACCTGTGTTCTTGGGCTCTGCAGGGCCCACATAGAGAGAGTAACTTAGAGAACAAGATGGGGAAACAGGCTCAGCTCAGCAGCAGGGAGGGTGGGGTGGGTGGGGTGCTGCCTTTTCTGATGCAATGTTAGAGAGCTCAAAGGTCCTTCCCAAGTTTTTAGTATTGAGTCTCTATTGGAACAGTTGCTTTGAGCCTAGCATCAGGAGAAGTTTTTTGTTTTTTGTTTTAAGATTTATTTATTTATGTGTACAGAGCTGGGGGACAGCCAGAGGTGCAAGGGCAGTGAGAGATTCGCCAGAGACAGAGAGGGGAGCAGAACAGACTCACATTGACGAAGTACACTGCTGAGGGGAGCAGTGGGCAGGTCAGGAGTGGTCCGCTGCTCCATGTGGGTCACCTTCGGGGTGGGCAGGGATAGAAATCATGCACAAGTGGCTTCAGCTTCTTAGTGCTGTGCTTTAACCTGCTGCGCCACCAGGGAGGGCCACATCAGGAGAAGTTTTAAGTCCAAAAAGCCTCAGGCTGATTTCCTTCTTATTTGGGGGATGGGGTGGGGAGTGCAGGGGTGAACCAGGAAAACAAATGTCCCCACGCGGTGCATCAGGCAGCCAGGACTGCACAGATGAGGAAACTGCAGAGGAGGGCGCAGGTCTGAGGTTCATTCCTTCAAGCACCTCTGAAACCAGGCACTGAGATGACTGAGACCCAGCCCCTGGCATCCCAAAGCCGAGGGAGGAGCCCGAGACAGGAGTATAAACACTGGAGCTTCCCAGGTGGGAGAGGGCCATGGATGGGCAGTGCACAGGTGAGGGTCCAGCGCTGGTCAGACTGAGTCTTAAACCTGGGTGGAAAGGCTTTTTTTGACAACACAGGGGAAGCTGGTCCTGCATCCAGAGCCTGAGCTTCGAGTGCCCAACGTGTTGCCACAGTCCTAAGGGAAATCAGAACTAGCATGGTCTGGGGACGCCCAGGCCGGCCCGGGGCCAGGGCTTGCCCTGGTCACTGGCCCAGAGGCCTGAGCAGCAGCCCACTGGTGCTCCCTTCCTAGGCTGGCCGAGCACCTGCGGAGGACCCGGGCGGCCGTGGTGTTCCAGAAGCAGTTTCGCATGCGGAGGGCCCACCTGGCCTACCTGCGGGTGCGCGGGGCCGCCATCACCATCCAGGCCTTCGCCCGGGGCATGTTCGTGCGCAGAGCCTACCACCAGGTACGTGACTGCTCGGAAGGAAGCCAGGCCACCAGCTCAGAACTGCAGCAGCAGCTAACGGGGTCTCACCGACATGACCATCTGTGGGTGCTGCTGTTTAAGTGATTTCACACCTCTGCTCCCATGAGTCATTTCCAAAGACCCATGAGATGGTGTATTTATTAGTTAGGGTTTTCCAGAGAAACGGGACCAAGAGAAGGGTGTGTGTGTGTTTAATAGACATATAAAGACTATGAAGAGGTAATCATTCGAAATAAGAGGTCCCCAGTCTGCCATCTGCAGGCTGGAGTCCTGGTGAACTCAGTGATGTAACTTAGTCCCAATCCAAAAGCCTCGGAAACAGAGGTGATGATGGTGTGAGTCCCGGGGCGAGAGAAAGCGATGACATGGGCGTCCCAGCTCCAGAGTGAAAAGGGGTCTTGTGTTCCTCCTTCCTCCACCTTTTGTTCCATTCAGGCCCCCAGTGGGTTGGAGGACACCCACCCATGTGAGGGAGGGCATCGATTCAAATGTGAGCAACCCCAACACAGAAGCCCAGAAGCAGGGTTTAACCTGGACACCCTGTGGCCAGTCAGATGGACACAGATTGACTGACCGTTAGAGGAAGGACGAGTGTGTGCTGTTGCCCCCAGAGAGACTGAGCGTCTGGCACTCAGTGGGGGAGCTTGGCAACCATCGTCTTGGTCTCGGAGTTGCAAGAAGGGGTGTCATTAGGCATCATCAGTTGCTCCATGCAGTGGTCAGGAGCCCGGTGCCTGGCGCGGTGAGGTCAGATTCCAGATTCCTGCTGGGCCAGATTCCAGCCCTGGCTGGCCAGCCCACATCAGGAGACACATGCATCCCACCAAATTCCCCCATGCCAGCAAAGTGCATGCTACAACAGATGGCTTTGCAGGCGATGTCTAAATGATCTTTCCCCCCTAAAACAAACATCTATGTCTTCTATGATCAGAGCAGGCATGGTTTTTCTAAATAACATGAAGACACTAAAGTGTCTTCACACGTGATCGTGTTGCCGGGCCAGCGAGCACTCCCCGAAGTCAGCTGTGGAAGCCCAGGCCGAGGAGCAGATGCCGAGAAACCCCTGGGAGGCACTGTGTGTGCGCCCCGCTGCCTCAGAGCTGTGATGTGGGGCATGCTGGTCTCCCACATGTTTGCTTATTTACTCATTCGCTCCACAAACATTTATTTTGCAGGGCACTAGGGCATGAATATTAATAGTGCTTAAAATTCTGAGTGGTTTTTAATTTGCTATGAAAAAATGCGGTGAGTTCCAAACCAAGCTTATAATTAAAGGCCATTAGCCCACTGTGTACTCTCACTAGAGAATTTCGCTTCATGTCCCCAGCCCTGGGACAGGATCCAAATCACCTGATGATCCAGCTGCTGGTATGAGCAGGCTCATCTTCAGTCCTCTAACACTGAGCTTCCCACACCTTGATTTTCTAACCAGTAAACTACGTGAAAAAGAACTTTGCAGGTGCACTCAAGCTGTAGAACCCAGTTTTAAAAAAATTTTTTTATAATATAATAGTTTATTCTTACATCATTTTGTACATTTTTTTTTCATGAACCCAGTTAAAATTTACTCTGAAAACCAAAGTCTTAGGTCTGAGCAGCATGACCTCTCTGTACCGCCTCCAACAGAGGCCCCCCCGCTTCTCCCCACCTCTGCTGGCCTGTGAGCCTCGGGTGCTCCCGTGCACACCCCCACGGGCACGCTTGTCCCCTGCCAGGTCCTCGCGGAGCACAAGGCCAGCGTCATACAGAAGCATGTGCGGGGCTGGGCAGCTCGCAGGCATTTCCGGCGCCTGCGAGGTGCGGCCATTGTCATCCAGTGCGCTTTCCGGAGGCTCAAGGCCAGGCAGGAGCTGAAGGCCCTCAAGATTGAGGCCCGCTCCGCAGAGCACCTGAAACGCCTCAACGTGGGCATGGAGAACAAAGTGGTGCAGCTGCAGCGGAAGATCGACGACCAGGTCAGTGGCAGCTGCCCGGGCGTGTGTCCCCCTGGGGCGCGTTTGAGAGAGGTCCTGGCTCCTCCAGAAACCGAGGGAGTAAGGCAGTCCCGGGGCGTTGCCCCGCTCTGCGGGAACAGTTACCCAGTGTGGGAGACAGTATAACGGTCCCCAAAGGTGCCCACGCTCGAACCCCCAGGACCTGCGAATGTGACTTAACATGGTAAAGGGGGCCTTGTAGGCCTGATGCA